AGAATGTGAAGACTTAGGTTTAGAAAAATTGGAGTGAGGTTTTTCTTCATTTTACATTTTTTATGTCCTCAAACAACAACAAAAAAAGGCATTCCTCTCTTCCTCAACCCCAGAGCTTTTGCACACTATTCAGACCAAACCTATGATTTCATCACAATAGGCAACTAACCCCGGATGAGGAATGTCCGTTTACCAGTGCATCTGCTCTGCTTAGAGAGTTGCCCAGGGACATTGACCAGTTAAATGACTCCCCCAGGGTCACATACTGGCGGCTAGGTGGTGCCATAGTGCATCTCTATGAGCCCTGGGCGTGGAGTCACAAAGATCTGAGTTCAAATGTGCCCTCAGACACTTACTAGCTATGTGGCCCTGGGCAAGTCACTTCACCCTGTTTGCCTCAGTTTCCTCATCTGGAAAATGAGCTGGAGAAGGAAATGGCAAACCACTCCAGGATTTTTGTCAAGAAAACCCCAAGTGGGATCACAGAGTTGGACATGACTGAACAACAACAAAGGGTCACACAATTAATGTGTCAGAGGCAGGATTTCATTCCCAGGTCTTCCCGACTCCCAGGCCAGCCCTGTATCTGTCATGCTGCACCTTCTCTACTATTCTCTTCATTTACTTTGAACTAGATTTCATCGAAATCCCTCAGCATGGTCCATACTTCAAGGTCCTGCCCGACCTCCTCTGGTCCCTGACTTTCTTTCTCCTTCCATCATGTTGGTCCGAGGCTTAGGCTTGGGCCTCTTCAGAAGGCCTCAGCCTGCCTCTGCCTTCCCTCATGGCCTTTCTTCTCCCTCTGCACCCCATCAGGACACTTCCACTAAGTTGTCATTTGGCCTTGAGAGGCTTTTAGAGGGCAAGGGTCAGAAGATCCAAGTCTGAGTCCCAGCTCCTTCACCTACAGGCTTTACCAAGGGCACAGTCACTTGGAGCTTAAAAATCCTCCCCTGTAAAACATGTGTAATAACATTCATCCTGTCTACCTCACAAAACTAGTGTAAGTATCCATTGAGATAATATATGTGAAAGGGAGCAATTTCCTCTAACGCACGATGGAGACACAAGCAGGGATTATTACCGTTGTCTTTTTACAACTTTCTAAGTGTTCCCTAGTCATCCTGTGACTCTGTCACAGGAGTCATGGCTTGCTGGCCTTGAGTTGCCCAAGAGAGGAGACTTTCTACTTGTAGTACCAATCTCCTGGGAGGGGGTGGGGAGACACTGGATCTATGTTGCTGGGGGGAGCGGGGTGGACCATGTTCCATGGACAGACAGTAGAAGGAAGTCTATGGGTACACTCACCCGGATATAGCACTTCCTGGTCACTCCTCAGCAGCACCGTCACTGTGGAAAGGACAGAGATGAGGAAGGGGCTGGGAGGGTGGGGAGCAGTGGGGAAAGGTCAGGTGAGGGGCAGGAGAGGTGGGGGGGGGGTCTGTCTCTCACCAATGGCCCAAGAAGCTGCTCCAATCCCCGCCAGGAGCAGGAGGCCCCCTGCGATGACCGCCACAATCTTGGGCAGAGGCCAACACTGAACCTTTTGGCCACCTACAAGCAAATACAGTCTGTGTGCACTGTTCAGTGCTCCCTCGTTCCATAATCTGGCTCTGAGACCTCAGGATTTCCCCTCTACTGTTTTCTAGGCAGTTCCCCCTACTGAGAACTAGGGCCCTCTCCTGAGTCTTTCCTTCTTCAGCCAGGCCGGGCTGGGGGCCAGACCCAGTCACCACACCTCACCCAGTTCTGACTGGCCTTATTCCATTTTTCTGCCTTCTTCCTCCTCCTCCTCCTCCTTACCTCCCCCCAACACATGTCCTTTTTCCAAAGGGATCCCAAGAGCCCTGGGAAAGTGGTTAGGTCAGTTTCCCTGAGCAGCTGTCAAGAAACTCCCCAGCCCACCTCAGAACCCAGGTGTCCTTTCAGGAAGCTCTGGGCTCTTCTTCCTTTCTTTCCAGGCCCTGGATGTTTTGCTTATTCCACCTAATACCCTCCTTGGGATGGGGGACAGGGAGGAATGGGAGAAGGAAAAAGGCCTGTTTTGGCCAGCCTGGTGTTCAGTGTATGTAGAAGAGGTGTCACTGGCATTAGCTACCTCCACACTCTCTTTTCCTTGGCATCCCAATGACTTGTTGACATTGGGTTCATCCTACATCATATACATCAAGCTTTTCTCTTGATTAGGCCCTTCCCCCCCATCCTGGTTCCTTCTGGCCTTCTTGTGCAGCCTGCCCTGGAATGGGAATTGTATGTGAGTCAGTGACCTTTGTCCCTGGCCTTATCCCCCGGCTCCCTTTCCTGCTGTTTGCCCTCATGATGGATCACCCTGTTCTCTACTTTGAAGCCATAGGAGCAGACAACTTCACCCCCAAGGCAGCAGGAGCCAAGCCCTACACTGGAATTCAAAACCTCCCCAAGAGCCTCTCCACTCACCTCAGATGGTATTTGCCTAGGACTATGCACCAGAGGGCCGGGTGAGGCAGGTGACAATGTCCCTTTCCTCACTGGCTAGGATCAGCGGTCCAGCTTTGTCCCCCTGGTGGTCATATGTGGCAATGGCAGGACAGTGGCTATGCCTCTGTTATTCCAGACCTTTCCCAAATCCCCCTTATTTCTGACTTTCCAAACCTCCAGCCACATTTGTCTGATTATTTTTTCTTGAATGTGGATCCAATTTGATACAGACTTGGTATGAATAAGATACAAAGTGCCTTGCAAACCCTTAAGGCACTACATAGGGTAGCTAGGTGGTACCACAGTGCATAGAGCACCAGGCCTGGAGAGAGGAAGACTCATCTTCCTGAGTTCAAATCTGGCCTGAGACACTTACTAGCTGTGTGACCCTGGGCAAGTCACTTCACCCTGTTGGCCTCAGTTTCCTCATCTATAAATGAGCTGGAGAAGGAAATGGCAAACCACTCCATTATCTTTGCCAAGAAAACCCCCAATGGGGTCACAAAGAATCAGACATGACCAAACAACAGCAAAGGCACTATATAAATACTGGTTAATATTAGTTGAGAGTGCTTCTTTGCAGAGCTTAGATTGTTGCTTTCAACCCTTCACTTTCCACTAGCAATCTTTTTTTTTTCCTGTTGTCACATACCCTAAAAGCTGGAAAGTTGGTTGTCTGGACTTTGTCTGGGGTCCCCTTCCTTTCTTGAAAAGCAGCAAGAAAGGAGTTCTCTAAACCCTTCCTACAGGCCCTGTCATCAATCACTCTACCCCAACCCAGACTCAGTGCCCTGACCAAGCTCCCCCGCTGCCTGTCCCTAACACGCCCTTGTCTGTTCTGGCCCTTGTGTCTTTTCACGTTTTCTTACCTGTTGCTCTTATCTACTAAACCATGTCTCTCTGCCTTTCCAAACCAGACCATGAACTATACTATTCAGGAAGCCTTCCTCGGTTTAACTCCACCCAGCTCCTAAATATAAGAGAATTTATTTCTGTATCTCTCCTTGTGTTTTTGGCCTTTTCCTGTGTCCCTGCCCATTTGCATGGAATCAAGGCCATGGTCAAGACCTTGTTTCTTCCATCAGACAGGAAGCCCCCTGAATGCTGGGGCCATATGCCTTCTCATTCAGAGAAGGGGATCTTTTAAAGGTGACAAGTCTCTCCGATTTTGTCTACTCTCCCCTTCCCCCCGCCCCCACCTCCAGTTCTGTGCACTGAGTTCTCACTCCTCAATTAATACACTTTGGTTGTGAAATAGCAACCAGGTGGTGCGCTGGATAAGAGCACTGGACCTGGAGACAGGAAGACTCTTCCTGAGTTCAAATCCGGCCTCAGATGCTTACTAGCTGTGTGACCCTGGGCAAGTCACTTCACCCTCTTTGCCTCAGTTTCCTCATCTGTAAAATGAGCTGGAGAAGGACATGGCAAACCATTCCAGTATCTCTGCCAAGAAAAAAACCCAAATGAGGTCACAGAGAGTCAGACATGACTAAAGATGATTAATGACTGAAGAACAGGCTGGGAAATAGTTTGGAAATCCAAACTTAGAAGGCCTGTGGCCTCATTCTTTAAATGGAGGGGGGGGGAAGAAGAGGATGCTGTCCTTAACCTGGGATTTGGGGCTTCCTCCTCCCCCCATCCAAGGCATCTGCTGTTGTCCGGAGTTGGGCAGGAAATAAAAGGACTGGGGTGGAGGCAATGATGGGATCCAGCGAATGTGCCTGAATATCTGGGCCTTGATTTCCTCATGTATAAAGTGAAGAGACTGGGGCAGATGAGCTCCAAGGAACCTGCCCATTCTAAGTCCTGGGAGCTCTCTTAGCCTGAGGTCTGTTCCCTGACTCCCCGTACTGAGTAGTTGTTACTGAAGCTGGTCCTCCTGGACTCTCTCTATGTCACCTTTCCCCCACCCCCCTTAGTTGTTCAGACTGAAATGCCAGGCAAGCCAAGCGATAGAGATCCCTCCTTCAGAACTGCTAGAAAATGAGGAAGGTCTGGGAATTTGAGACTTAGGGCTTTTGTGGTCAAATGCTTTAGGGGAGTAGAATCCTGGCCTCTCAAATTCTAAGCTTGACCTGTTGTTAGCCCTCGAGATTAAAAGGATATAAAGTATTTGTGGAAAAATCACTTATTTCTGGGGGTGGAGGGGTAGAAAGTAGTCATATAGGGCAGTAGCAAATGGGGAAACTAAGGCACAGAGCAGGGAATGTTGTAAAGGATATTGAGAAGAATAGGAGACAGATTGTGTAAGAAGTTAATGGATGATTGATTAACAGTTAATCTGGCAAGGAGCTGGAGGTAGCTTGGGGGAAAGTGGGGGGCAGGATGAGATGAGTAGAGTAAGGAAAATGGATGGGAAGGGGTTGGGCACTGGGAGGAGAGACAGGTGGGAAACCTAGAAAGACAGGTTCTAATGGTAAGAGAGTGAGACAGAGATTTGAAGAAAAGAAACCCAAGAGATGGGAAAAGGGAAAGTGGGAGAGAATACACGGGTGAGGGTAGAAGGGGCATAAGTTAGGGAAAACACTTACTCTCCTTCTCAGCCATGTCACCACTTCCAGTTAATGATTCCCCCAGTGAACAGTGGTGACTGTCGCAGTAGGGCCTCCCCCCCTTGGGGAGAGAGGCAAGTGAGACCTGTGGAGGACACATAAAATAGATGGGGGTGGGCCCTGAACCTCCTTGGCACCTAGGGGCCCCTAGTTCTCTTGATTCTACCCCCATGCCCAGTGTACTTTCCCAGACCCAGGTATGCCTAGCTACAGACAGCATAAAGTTCCCCTCCCTCAGAGCCAACGCGAGGGGCTGGGCCTCTTGCCCAGAGCATGCCGTGATCACGGGCTGGCCAGCCTGCCAGCTCAGAGGATCAAGGACACACAGGCAGGGGAATTGACCAGGGAGATAGGGCACCAGGGTCCAAGGTGGGGAGCAGGAATTAAAAGGAAGATCTGGGGGCTGGGAGAAGGCAGGCTACCTGGGCCTCAGGAAGACTGAGGACTACAGGGAGCCATATGCCAGGACACCCAAGGGAGAGGCAGCATCAGTGTCCTGAGGGGCCGTGGGTTGGTAGAAGGGGATTGGATGCCGAGTCCCCGAGGGAAGGGGCCAGATACCTCATTCCCTGACAGAAATGTGAGCTGAAGAAGTCGTGCACTGCCTCCCCAAAACATGAGAAGCGGGGAGATGCTTGGTCTCTCAAGGGAGCAGAGAAAGAAGCCTGGGGTGGGAGTGGGGGGAGGGATGCTCATGTTGTTGAGAAGTACAGGTCTAAGAGTTAGGTTGGCTGGACACCTGAGGGTAGGAAGGACGAGATGCAAGCAGACAAGACTTTTGTATTCTTCCTGGCCAGACTGGGTGGAGATTTAAGAGAGAAAGCCGGGATTAGATGGTCTGAGAAAAGGCCAAGGGCCAAGGGAGAGACAGCAAGAAACTTGGACCTGGGGATGAGTGTGAAGGCTAGGGTACCCAGTGTTGTCTGAAAAGGCATTAGAATGAGCCAGAGGAGGAAATGGGGACTCAGGGCCAAGACCGCAGGGCATGGGGAAGGGAAGCTTGGAACATGAGTGCTGCCTTACCCTCTGGGGTCCGTTCGGTGAAATCTCAGAGCTGTTTTCCAGTTTCTAGGGGTCACAATTGGACCCCGGCAGGAGCATGGTGTCCCCAGCTGGGGGCCAGGAACCTGGGTCCCAGGAAGGAAAGAAACAACAGCAGCCTTGAGCTCAGCCAGACTGGCTCACCTGAGGAGGAGGGGGCTGGGGTGGGGGGAGGGGAAGGGGCGGGAGAAAGGGCGGAGAAGAACCTGGCCAATGGGAGTGGCTGCTGTTGGAAGCCACCTGCCCAGTCCCCGGCCCCTCGGCACAGCTCGAGAGGGCCGATTCTGGCCAAGGGCAGCAGACAAGCTCAACCTTTCTCCTCTTCTTTCCTCTTCTTTTTCTGTCTTGGCTGGGGCTCCCCCTCTCGATGGTGCTGCTGCTGGTGCTGGCCTCCTCAGGGCCTTTGTCCAGAGGTGGAGATTTGTGTAAACCCGAGGTGAGGTTGGGAGTGCCTGCTGTTGGGATGGGGTGCCGTGGAGCACCGGGTTCTGGGGTGGGACCGAGAGCGATCTTTTGTTGCCCCCTGGTCCCCGGACAGAATGGGTAATTGAGCCCCTCGGCCCAGCCCCAGGGTAGGCCTGAGCCTGGCCGTTGTCCTCTGCCCCCTGCTGCCCTCCCATCTCTGCTTTCCCACAAGTCACGGGGTCTGGTTTGCTTTGGCAGCGCCTTCCTGATGGGGCAGCCAGCGACCTCTGGAGCTGGGGAAAGTCCTGTGGCCACAGTGGAGGGCAGAGGGAGGGAAGGAGAAAGAATGGATTTGAATTTGGGGCCAGCCAGACACACAGCTCCCTGGAAACATGAAGATACACACTGACAGGCAATGCATTCCTCCCCATCAGAAACGTGGGGAACCACATACGTACGCAGCCAGATACATCTCTTCATTGCCAGAAACAGACCCTTCCATAGCCAAAGACAGACACCCACATAGCTACATGTGTATTTTCATAACACTGTATATGTGAACACACATAAATACGCGTGTGACGATGGTGATGAGAATTAGGACATACGTTTATACCTGGATCCAAACGAAGCCCAGACTCCTGTACCCAGTCTCACCCCTGTCCACAGCCTTCCATCCAATACTCCATATAGTTGACAGCAGAAAACACCAACCTTGCAGAGCCTTCCTCATCTCTCACCCCTCCTCATATTACACAGAGGCCTTTCCAGACACTGTTCCAATCTCAGCATTTAGGATTCTAGAGCCCTTGTGACCTTAATTCTGTCTGAACAGCCTCTAAGTCAGATCCTGTGGGGGGACAGGCTCCCACTTCCCACCCTCCACCTACGATCCTTCACCCCTCCACCAGATATATCTGCCTGCTGCTGCACCTGTTGGCTTCTACCTCTGTCTCTGCCTTTCTCTTGCCTGTGGCCCCCTGTGGCATTAATGCTTACAGTAACGATGACGTTAATCAGGTAATGAGCTGGTGCTTCAGAGCTGCTTTTGAACTCTCCAAGCTGGAATTCTGGCTGGGAGGTGGGCAGTGCCTCCTCAGCCTGGGGGGGAAGGGAGTGGTACCCGAGTGCCCATCCCCACCTCTGTGCCACCTCTCTAAGTAAACGGTCCAGGTCCAGGAGCAGGCTCTACAGTATTGTGGCTGCCCTGGTAGGAGAGCCTTTCCCTCAGGCATCCCTGGCACAGCCCTGTGCCTGCTCTCCAGACTGTAACTGAGGTACAAGGTGAAGGGAGCTAGGGCCTAGGAGCAGAACCCAAGCTTCTCACCCATCCTTGGGCCTTCCCTAGTATTCCTGGCCTTGGATAAAGCCCAGTTTGGAGGTTTGCTTCACCTTTCTGAGCCTGACTGAAGAGGGAGACGGAGACTCAAGTCCGAGCGTTTTTATTTCATGAACAAAACTACAACTGTACATTTACTAGGAAAGGTAAAGTGCTCCTCATCCTAAATGCCCACAGATCTGAGGCTGGTGAGAAGGGGATAAGGGCAGGATGAGCCGAGGTTGAAAGGAGGTGGGGGGCAGAACAAGGGGGAAAGTGCAGCTAGTGTAGAAGAGAGTCCGTAGCCCCTTAGCCCTGCCACACACTAGGGCGACAGGGTTGCTGAGAAGAGAGCGGGAACGTGAGGGTTTGTCCTGAGGCCTTGGACCATAAGGTCCAGGCTTCCTGGCCCCCCAATCCTCTATCTCCCTGTCAGTCATGTGTGGCGAATGGCTAGGGGAGGGAGGCACCGGATCAGGGAAGGGCCCCAGGGGAAGGGCCCCTGCATCCTCAGATGTGGCAATGTGAGGTGCGCGGCCAAGCGGCAGACATGTGCAAATCAGCTTGAGGAGATAAGGGAAAGGATGAGATGTGAGCTGTCCCTTCCCCCCTCCCAAGATCAGGCAGCAGAAGCAAGGTGGGAGTGGTGGCCATATTGCTTTTTTCATCATGCATTTTGGTGAGTCAGGAGGGCCCCCACCCCCGCTGTCATATCTGGTGGGTAGAGGAAGAGGTGAAGGTAGGGAGGCATGAGCCAGGGGAACATCGATGCCCCCTTGACCCTTTGTTACAGTATTAGACAAAGTAATGGGCAAGCCCTTGCCCCCACCTCACCCTACTACCCCTCCTTTGGCATGACTCTGCCGTGCATGGAGGTCAGGGAGCTTTCTAGGCCCCAGGAGGGGTAGATACCCCCCCTCCCAACCCATCAGTCAGGGGCAACCCTTTCTTGAGGCAGAGCCAGGGAGCCCGGAAGGCTAGAAGAGAAGGACAAAGGAAAGAGAGTGAATGACTGAATTGTGCTTCCACACCTCACTCCACTCCTCAAATGCCGTTCCCCCAACCTTACCCTGAGCTATTCAGCCACCTGGACCCCTGTGCAGTTTTCTTTGCTCTCTGAAGTGATGGCCAGGTACTCTGAGCTGTGGGAATCAAAGGTCAACCATCGATCACCATAAACCAGTGCAACACAGTGCCCCAATCAGAGTGAGGGCACCATTGGGACACAAGGGAAGTTGTCAGGGTTCCCAAACCCTTTACCTGGACATCCCTTCTAGCTCCTCCCCCACTCCCAAGGCCTGTGTGATTGTCAGAGCCAAGCCCTCTGAATCCACTTGCGGTCATTCTTTATAACCATGATACTGAACTGAATCTCAATCCTAAACTTTAACCAACCAAATAGTATTCCTAATGGTCCCCTTGACACCAGTCTTTATTTGAAACCCCATAACCTGGGCTCTAAGTGTAAAACAAACCCCCAACCCTGACCTGACCCTTAACTTCAAACCAGTTTTACCCTAAACTCCAGCCCAAATATAAGCCCATCCCCATCCCTTGCCCTGACTTTGTCCCTTAGGCTGTTCAGGGACTCCCAGGGAAGGCTTCACCCACTCCCCCTCATGCACTCACGCATTCTCTTGGGCAGCCACTTCGGTGGCAGCGGCGATCTTCTTGTAGCAGTAAACCATCTCAGCCACAAGCCAGATGGTCAGCACGACAATGAGCACATACATCATGATCTCAGACACAATGGAGGCCATGTCCCTGTTGGCTACAGGGAGGTAGGGGCAGTTAGAGGGACCGATGGTGTGAGGCACTATGGGAAATGGGGTAGAGGTCATCAGGGAATGTTGGTATAACTCCCCCCTACCACCTCACCTTAACTCCATTCTTACCCAAGCCCCATCAGCCCTGTACAGAGTGAGGCCAGGTCCTCACTGATCTGTCAGCATGGGCCTCATCTCTTTGTCTGTACTGTGCAAATGTGCTTCGTTCTATCTGGATCTAATGAAGTTCAATTGGAAATTGCCTTTTACACTAATTGTTCCCCATACATATGTCTTCTTCCAGCTCTGAGACCTTATCATGGCAAGTGGAGGTGTCCCTAGGCTCTTTATGGCCTTAGCAACAGCACATGAGCTTGGGCTGTGCTTTGAATATGGGCCAGCTGCCCCGAGATCCCTCTCTCTACATTGAAGCAAGCCCACCATCAACCCAGTTCACAACAATTCTCGAAGACCATCCAAGTTAAAGAAGGCTGGAGGTCAGCTTTGGTGTAGGGAATTCTAACACAATCATGGATCCTAGAAGTCCCGTGGACCTGGTCAGATTTCATTTCTGTGGCCAGAGCCCATGTCTCAGACCTCCCTGCGTCTGCCCTCATGCCTAGCATAGGGCTCATAGCATGTGCTCAGCCAATACTGCTAATTGAGACAGAAATACAGAAAAAGACAGATGAGCCTGGGGGAAGGTAGCACAATTAAAGGAAACACGTTGAGTGTGGGAGGCCACAGTAAGTCCAGACAAAAACAATGATGGAGGCTAAGTAGGATTCAAGGCCACAAATGTAGAAAAGAGATGGATAGGTGGGATCCAGGCCTTATAAAGTCATAGACTTCATTGGATATTAAAGTTAGGGTGGACCTGAAGGAACATAGATTGTCTGACCCCTTTATTTTACAGGTGAGAAAAATGAAACCAAGGGGAGAAAGGACTTGCCCAGGAGCAAGAACGAAGGAACTCTCTTTGAAACTGAAAGTCCAAGTAAAAGGAGTCGCTACTTTGGAGCGTGGTGAAAATCCACTTACTACCCCAAGAGGTGGGACAACTGGAGAACATTAGCAGGCTCAAAGAAGTTTGAGAGAAGTTATGACAGCTGTAGGGGATTCAAGGGAAATTTATAGGGAAACTGGGGGGCATATCAACTTCACCTCTAGAAGGATAGAAGGAGTAGAAAAAATAGAGGGAACTATTGCAGTTACCCTCTAACTGGTCTCCAATCCATCCTCCCCCTACCCAACTGCCAAGGTGGTTTTTCTAAAGCATAAGCCTCTCCATGGCAACCCCACCCAGTGTCTCCCTCTGACCTCCAGGATTAAACTGGCATTTAATTCATATCCTGGCTCCTCTATGAACTCTACACTCCAGTAATCCTGGTCTACTGGGGTTCCTCAAGCAGCATACTACATCTGTCCCCCACATCTGGAATTCCATTCCCTCTCACCTCTGCCTCTTCAAGCCTCAGCTCAAATCTCACCAACTACAGGGGGCCTTTCCTGGTCCCCATACTTGTTCCTGCCTTCTCTCAGAGAGTCTACTCTGTAGATATCTTCTCTCTGCCTGGATGGAGTCTCCCCAGGGCCTGACACATAGTTAGTATTCAATAAAGGCTTGTCGGCTGACTAATTTCTATAATTTTCTATGGGCAGGGGTCTAGGAAGTGGAGGGATATGAAACAACTGTGGTCTTCTCAGACCAGCCTTTGATGCCTCTGTTGTGGGACAAAATCCTAGGCTGGAGGTGCTGTGCCACTGATCTGCATGGTATTCTTAAAATATAGGCACAGATCAAGAAAACAAAGACAAAAGAAAGAAACAGAGAGGGGAAGAGACAGAGACCAATGCTGAGACAGAGTGAGTTAGATTAGGAGAGAGATACATTGATTGAGAGCCAGAGAGAAAGGGAAATGAGCTAAGAACCTCGCCACCCCCCACTGGGTAGTCTGGGCACAGAGCCAGCATCATCCCACCCAGACCATCTGTCTCCCTATTTGATGTCAGAGAACTGTAGGTTGGGATTTATAGGGTGGGTGGAGAAGGCCTGGGAAGGGGGGATGCTTACCTTTTTCTACCACCTCAAGGTGGATCTTCTTGACGACGCTGGTGTTATACTCATAGTTCTCAAAGAAGAGAAGGCGGTAGACATGGCACTCATAGTCACCTGAATGGTTGTAGGTGACATTGGTGATGAAGATGGACAGGTCTTGCAGGTCCTTGCTGCCTCGACTCCCGTTCCACACCACACGACCCTCAAACCGCTCATCTTCCTCTAGCTGCAGCATCTCATTTTCATAACGTAGGATCTGGGGAATCCAAGGCAGGCTGGTCACTCTGGCCCCAAAGCCAGCTCAAACCCAATTGAATTCCCAATGCCAATCCTAAATTATCATTCTTACTGACCTTGAATTCTGGTTCCCCAGATCAAACCCTAACAGGAACTTTGCCCTAACTGTACACCTTTCTCCCCTAATCCCTCCCACCTTGACAAATTCTTCAGTCCCTTTTTGACGGAAAGTCCACTCCGTGAAGGTCTCAGCCACAGTTTCGCTTCGGCGCTTGCATGAGATGCATAAAATCTTGAAAGTCATTCCATAGACAGCCTCTGTTTCTGAGTCCACCTCCACACAGCCCCCCCAGACCGATGACACTGTAGAGATATTAGGATCAGGCAGGAGGAGAAAGGAGAGGAGATTTAAAGCTCTACTGTAACCCTCAGGCTCTTGGGTAAGGGAGGAAAATCTGGACTTGGAGCTGAGCTAGATTCCTTGGGGGACTAAGCGTTATTGCCTTGGGCTGAGTGAAGGAAAAGTAGCCATAGATTTGGAGTCAGAGAACCTGGTCAGAAATCAGAAATCCCAATTCTGTCACTTACTACCTGTGTAACCACAGCCAAGTCACAACCGTCTGAGTCTCATTCAGTTTCCTAATCAGTTGAACGACCTCTAGCTCTTAAGTCTATGATTCTATGGGGTTTTTTTTTCTATGCTCATTCCCTAGTCATTCTTGTGCCAGCCTGAGTTTTGTACCAGATTATCTGGAGGTGAAATCATCTAGTGGTAAAGAGATTGAGCTCTGGAATTAACTCTGACATTGACCTTGTATAATTTGCACAGCAAGCTGATTTAATCTCTTGTGTATTTCCTCATATCAAATGAAGATAAGCTCTTCCCCAACTGACCCCATAGGAGTATTGTGAGGACCCAATGCTATCAGGAATGGGGGAAGTACTTTGGAAGATCTGATACTTGACAAAGGTAAGGGTGTTTGCTATGGCCTGACACCCTCCTAAAGTGCTGGAGTTAGTTAGTAAGCTGATAGCACAGTGGCCATTAGGCAAAGCAATTCCAGAATCAAGCTTAGAGCAAAGGGGAAGTACATTCAGCAGAAAACCACCCTTAACAACTGGCTAGTCACGGTGCTTCCAACAAACCTATTGCAGTAGAAAGAATCAGGTCAGGGTCAGATACAAGGGTAGAACTAAATTCCAGAGGCCTACAACCATTGAAACTTCAAGACTAGAGGCAAAAGATGTGATTATGAAACAGTACAGGATAACCTGACATCCAGGGGAGGAATAGGTCAGGATAGGAAAGTGTTATCTTCATTCAAGGGCCAGGTACCAGGACAGAACTCTGGCCACAAGAGTTCTAAGGGGATGGGGGTGGAGGTGGGTCACACCAAAACATGATAGAGTAGACCTAGAACATAGGCTGGAAAGTGCTAAGATTCCAGCAGTGCTGACCCCAAACCATCCTCAGGCTAGAGTTCATCAGATTGACAGCTAGAAGAACCCTTAAAGATCAACAGATACAACCCCCTTGTTTTTATAGATGAAGAAGCAAAAGCCTAGAGAGCTAGTGATTTGTCCAGGAGTGTTACTGTACAGAGGTAGTAAATAGTCAGAATTTGAACTCAGGTCTCTGCAGACTCTGTGTTCCTCACCGCATTAGTGAGTTTAGAATTTTTTTTCTTGGACATCCAGACCAATTCAGAAAATCTTACTCTGTGAGGGTCTTTTTTTATTTGTAGCTGTCTAATAACAATAACTTCCTTTCGGGTTGGTTAGTTTTACCCGAAGCAATTTTAGTTAAAAGTTGCCTTTGAAACATCATGCCCCTAGTGGCCAACAGGGTGTGGTAATAGCAGAAGAGCCCACAGAAGTAGCTGGGGAGATGGAAGAAATTCTAGGAGGGTCAGAGGGTTGGATTAAGACTAAGTGGCTGGGTGTCCCCACTTCTGCCCCAAGACACCAATTTCAGGTAAAATCCAATCCCTGTAACATTAGGACTCCCATAAGCAAGGAGTTCATCTTTCTCTATGCAGTGTCATTAACTGTGAGGATAGAGGCTGTTAGCCCTGCCTTAAGGAAGCTACACAAAGGAGCTTGACTCGTTTTTTGCCTTTGGGGCCTCTACTTCTCTAATGGACCGTGGATACTGCTGGCTCACCTCATTAGGGCCTCTGAAGGCAAGGACTAGAGCTGCCTTCTTTCAGCTTGTTTCCCTTTTTCACCGTATTTGTCCTGAACAAATATGAACATGAGGTTTTTCGGTTTTTGTTTTTTGGTGAATGGAAACCAGTTAGACAGAAAGGGACAGGCTGCTAGAAGCCAAGTCTATCCCTAAGGCAGGGACTGTGGAAAAGGAGGTCACGGGGGACTAGGCCATGCTACCAACACCCAATTCCTCCCTTCCCCCTTCTAAACAACTCCAGCTTCCCTCAGCCTTCTCTCATTGGTCAGTGTCTCAGGGAGCATGGGGCTGGAAAAGTTGGATACCTCAGTTCTGGCTTTTCCTACTATGGGGAAGCAAGCATTTCTGTCTCTTCCATTGCCAGCTTCCCCTTGGGCAGTTAGTGTGGGCTTTCAAGCCCTGCAGATCAGCCCAGGTGGCCTCTCTGCTCCCAGTATCCTGGTATGTCAATATTCCAGAAGAAGAGGGGTAAAGGTGAGGGAAGAGTGGTATCTCATCTTCCAGAGGTTATCACTTTTTCTAATCCTCTTTCAGTCTCTAACCCTAACCTTTCTATCTCTCTTTATGTCTTCATCTTTCTCCACTTTCCTCTCCTTTTCTCTTTTCCTCTCCATCTCTCTTCTTTCCTCTCTCTGTCTCCCTTTCCTTCTGTCTATCCATCTGTGTCTTGCATCTCTCCGTTTCTATCTCTCCATCTTGATGAGTCTTTCTCCTCCTTCCTCCCCCTCCCCCACCCTTACCCCGTTCTTGGGTGTGGGTGTCACATTACAGATTGCAGGACTCCCAGAAGCAGCTGACACTAGTTCTTCTTCCCTCAGAGCCATTTCCGAAGCCCACAGAACTGCTTGTTCGTCCACACTCCCCTTTTCTGTTGCCCCAGCCTTGCCCCAGGCATCTTTCCATTTCTCCCCCCCAACCTGGAGAAAAACCTGAACTCCAGAGATAGGAAGGGAGATATCCTGCTCCCTCCCTCTCCTCCCCCCTCTCCCCCCCCCAAAGGGACGAAGGGAAGGGCCAGGCAAGAGAAGAAGGTTCTTTCTCTAGCTGGGGAGCCCTACGATATCTCCAGCTGACACCTGCCGAGACCCTATTCCGAACCGGGCAGCAGGTCTCCTGCGGGCCAGGGTCCTCCCTTCTCCCACAGAGCCTCACCTAGGCGCGCCCGTCTGCTTGAGAGTTCTTTGCCAAGGTGCTTGTTGGGGAGGGGTCGTGCTATTGCCAGGGAACCCATCCTGAAGTCCCCGCGGCCAGTCTAGGAAGTTTTCAGCCTGGGTCGTGGGGAGGAACTGGCCCTACCTCTGCGCTCCAACCTATTTTGTGTTTGCCACTAGCCCCCGCACGCACCCTGCTCTCTTCCGACTCACCCAGCGCCATCCAGAACAGCATCCCCGGGAGCAGCCCCATGACTCCCGCCGACCCGGGGCTCGGGCTCGGGGTGTCCGCAGAGAGCGGCTCGGTCCCGCTCGCCTGGGCTCAGCGCCGCCCCCGGCCCGGTATTAATAGCGGCGGGAAGGAGGCGTCGGCAGCGCGTGGAATGTCCCCCGGAATGACCCCGGCGGGCGCAGCTGCTGTTGCGGCTGCGGCTGCGGCTCCCGCCCGGGCTTGAGCTCCGCGTTGTCACCCCCTTCAGCAGGACCGGGCCAGCGGGGGGGACGCGGCCCCCCCCGCTCCCGTTACCGGCGGGGGCTCAGCCCCGGAGCCCGGCGTCCAGGCATCCCAGCTGAGCCGGTTGCCCCTGCCTCCTTGCCAAAGGCTGGGGTAATCAAGCTCCAGCTCCACCGCTCTCCCCCCCCACCCCCTTCGCGACCGCTACTTGTCTCTCTGCCCCGCCCTGGACCCGGGCACATCTAGATGCCAAGAACTCCAGGAAGCTGCAGCCAGATGTTGGGAAAGTGGGGTTCAAGGCATGTCCGTGGGAAGAGAGGCTCCCGGCTCTACGTGCACCTTTCCGAGCCGGGGTTCCTCTGTCTCCTGCGCACTGCAGCGGGAGGAGGGGGGGAGGGGGGGAGAAGAGATGAATCAGAGCCCGGGGGGGGGGGGTAAGGGGGCCGGGCCTGATGCACTGCAGCAGCCACTGCTGGGCCGCCCCCCCTCAAAGGTCTGCCGGCCCAGTGCTACTTAAGGGGACTCAGAGGCTCCACACCCCGCCGGACCT